CCGCTCCGCATGCCGTGCGGGGCGGCAGGACTGCATCCGGGGTGCCGGTGGGTCGCGAAGGCCGCGCCCTTCTTCTTAGTCACTGCGCATCCGCTACGGATCTCTCACTGCGGTTTTGCCTCTTCTGGAGATTCCTGTAAGTTTAGTCACACGGCGTGTGGTCCTCTGAGTCTCTGGCTCAGCGCGCTGCCTTGGAGATCCTCCCAGGTGGTCCTCCTCCCTGCCGAGTGGTGCCCGCGGTGGGGGTGTGTCACAGCGTCCCTACCATGCACCAGTTAATAGACATTTGGGTGGTTTCCAGCTCTTTTCTGCTACGAATAACGCTGCTCTGAACAATTGGGTGCCACTTGGCTTGGGTAGATGCCTTCTCTCTGGGTAAATATTAGGACTGCGGGGCAGCGCGGTGTTCCGTTTATAAGAATCTGGCTACTTGTTGCTCTTCTTGGCCTTCTTGGCCTTCCGAGAACGCCCATCGTCCTCCACACCCAATCCTGCACTCGATAGGATTAGCTTTTAAATTTTAGCCACGCTAGTGTGCGTGACATGGCATCTCATCTCCACTTGAACTGATATTTCCCTGATAACAAATGATGTGGAGTATCTTTTCACGGGCTTCTCTTTTGCTGACATCTTCTCTGGAAAAGTGTTCGTTCGAATCTCTCACACCGTTTTAATCAGGTGTTTTGTCTTCTCTAGATTGAGTTTGTCTATGTTCCGAGTACAAGTCCTTTATCAGATATATGTTATGCAAATATTTTCTTCCAGTCTGTGACTTGCCTTTTCATTTCTTTAATGGTACCTTTCAAAGAGCAAATGCTTTTAACTTTGACAATTTTTCCGTTTTTTTTAAAGATGCACACTTTATGAATCCCAGCTAAAAAAAAAAAAAGTCTTTGTTGAATCCAAGGCCACCAAGATTTTTCTATTATATTTTCTTCCAGAAGCTTAATAGCTTTAGCGCTTAGATTTGGGTGTATGACGCGTTTCGGATTGATTTTTCAGCGTGAATTTGGGCGTTTCCCTTTGTTTTTATTCTCTGGAACAATGTTGGCAGTGTTGGAATGATTCGGTGTTTGCGACGTTGCTGGAATTGCCCCGCGGGGCTGTCTGAAGCGTTTTGCGGACTTGCTCCCTGATGAGATTCTCTGTTTCTTCTATAGCTTAGTTGATCTTTATGGCCCTATTGGAGCAATTTGGATAAACTGATTTTCCTAGGAATTTACCTATTTCATCCAGATTTTAAAAAATGAGTTGCATAACCTTGTTCAGTGTAGCCTCTGATAATTTTTAAAGTTTTCTGTTTCAGTAACTGTTTCCTGTTTGTCAATTCTGATGTTACATGTTTGATTTTTCTTTCCTCTCTTTTGGTCAGGTTAGCCAGTGGTTTGCACACTTTAAAAAAAAAAGAACTGAGATTTTGATTTACTACTTTATTGTTTTTCTCTTCATGACTATTAATTTCTTTACTTTTCTGTTATTTTGGCTTTGTTCCTTTTCTTTCTCCCAGCGTTCTGAGTTGGGAATTTAATTCATTTATTATTTATATGTGTTTACATCTATACATTTTCCTCTGGTCACTATTTAAACATTCTTCATAGATTGAGAAATTTGGTGTTTTTATTATCATAAGTTTAAGAAATTCTATCATTTTGGTTCATAGTTTAACTTTTGGCCACACGTGTTTGATAAAAGCTATTTAAATTTCCACATGCAAGAACCTTTCAAAGATGTCGTCATGATTTTCTGGTTTTGTTGAATTGGATCACAGAGTGATTCTAACTTCTCAACTTTATGGAACGTAATGTTTTCTTTGCGAACAAATGTACGATTAAAAATGTGAATATTTCACGTGCACTTAAGAGGAGTTACATCGTCAAGACTTAAAGTTTGATGCATACGTGTCCGTGAGACCTGCCTTAGCAATGATCTTGTTTAAGTCTCTGTTCTCACTGGTTCCTTGTTCACGGAACTGTCTCATACCCAGAATGTCCCCATCGGCACAGCACAGTGCTCCCGGGACATTGACGTTGTGTCTTTGTCTCTTTCCGCTGTTTCGCCTGTTCTTCCCTGTCTGTGAAGCGGTCCACCTTCGCGCAGCCCTTCGCCGGTACGAAGGTGCTTCTGTTCTACCTGCGCTGAGAACTGCGGCTTATGAAGCATGCTCCTTCATCCCGTGTGAGTGTTTTGTCCTGCAGTCGAGATCACATCCCCTGCCCAGAGCTCACTGTCCTAGTGGTTAAACCGCTTCTGGTCACTAGTGTCTTAAAGGTCTATGTTTTTAGCAATATGTCGAGTACTTTTCAATAGTAATGACTCTCGGTTAAAAGCCTAAAGCTAAAGGAATGCCACTCAGGAGACACAGGAAGCTGATGAGAATAATAATAGTAATAATA